TAAATTACAATAATAATAATAATAATAATAATAATAATAATAACAACGACAACGATAACAATAATAACAATAATTTTAACATAGTTTTATTGTCATGATTAGTATTATTACAATTCAAAGTAATAGAAAGTTTGTCCATTGTTATAAAAACAAATTGAAAGTTGCTGCTTTGGTCAGTCACAAAGGGTACAGGTTATCCAATGAACTAATCAAAACTTGATGCAAATGCTGTACATTTAGCTGGTGCGAAGCACGAGAAAACGAGTGAGTTAGCCACAATAATTATTGGTATTGGTTTAACTTCTGATTGGATGACAACGTGGTGTGCATAATTTTTTTTTTGTCAATCACATAGCAGAGTTACGCAAAACCAAAGCAAATTTGAATTACAATCATTACTGTAAGGTGTGAATTACAAATTCCTTTCAACGTATAATTTAGTAGCTGAAGTATAAGTTAACTTATGTTTGATGTTGCTGGTGACACTATAAATATTATAGATCTTTAATGTTTTTCTTTTTCAGATTACATGAGAGTTCTATTCCTTTGGTTCCTTACATGCTATTTGGTGACTTCAACTTTAGACTTGACAATAAGAGAGTAGTGGAGGTACAGTCTAAAAAATAATGTGGAGTTTTTCAACAAGTTACAGTGTGTTCACACTTATAGTTTACTGTACTCACATTCATGGGTATGCGAAAACTGCTTTCTGATCAGAAGTTAAATAACCTAGTGCTTTGTCTTTGTAAAAGGCTTCAGTGAATATAAACAGTCATAACTGGTCACATACATTTTGTTCATGTACAGTATTACTCGCTAGAGTGACAAGTATTATTTGGAGTACAGTATGAGGTAATGGCTAGTGCCCATTTATTTATTGAGCAAGTATGGACCGTTTATATGTGTACAGTGTTAGCTCTACAGCCCCTTTCTCTGTCACCTGTGTTGCAGCCAAAGGACATATGATGACAGTGCCTCTCCTAACCAGCCATCTCCTAATAAGGACATAACCTCTCCAATAAAGACACCAAAGTGACTGAGCAAAGTGTCCGTATTAGGGAGGTGTCCGTATTGGAGAGTCACTATGATCACGTCACCTTTAAGTCTTCACAGACAGTTTAGAGTGTTTAGTACCTAAAATCAGGCCCAAAAGTGAGTGTCTTGTGAATTTCTGAATCTAAATTGTTTAACTTTATTGTACTTCTCAGTTATATGCGGTGCGTACAAATTTTGGAACAAAACGAAAAACTGCACCTAAAAACTTAACACAACATATTTTAAAAGTACAATATTAAAGGTGTAGCAATAGTTTTACTAGAGTAACATGTTTGTGTAACCGCTGAGAGGAAATAGTGCATACCACAAATTATTGACACCTGGTCCCCCGGAGTGTCTATAGTAAAGAGGTTAAATTTGTATAAATTTGCTCCCTGGGGCCGAGATTTAGTGTTTGTTGTCCCTTTTAGAGAGGGTCCATTTTTAGAGGGTTTTTTTTAGAGGAAATGTATGAGAATTTTGCCGGTTCATAGGAAACTGTCGGTATTAGAGAGGTGTCCATATTGCGGAGATGTCCGTATGGAGAGGTTTGGCTGTAGATGTGCAAATTCAGTTACAGATCCTACAGTGGATGTGTTACTTGGATTGTGCTTATTATTGGGCTGATTTTCATACTTGGTTCTTTGTAGTCTCTCTGTGCTGGGTTACCACAACAGCATATCAGAAAGGATGGTGAGAGCACTCCTTCAAAGATCATATTCAGAGATAGAAAGAAGGCTGACAAGGTGAGCCCACATTTCACTGGACTGAGTTATTAGTGAAATGCTGTACACATTTGCCATATCAATATGAAAACACCATTACATGTGGTGAATGATTAAGTCATGACCCAATTCACTTGTGCTCTGCTTCTAACATGCAAACAGCTTGTGTATTGTTTTGTTGGTGTACATATTACAGTGTAGAAGTTAACATCCTCACCTCTTTAAGCTCCTAGTGTATTTTTATATCCATGTTCATGGGGTGAAATAAATTAGAATAACTTAACTCAAAAAATTGATAAGTGAGTTAATTGTTGGTATTAATTACATAAATGCACTCTATATTATATTTGGTAGATTTTCCTTACACTGGAACCTCGCATTTTCAAGTTTCATGACCAAAGTATCTTCAGAAACCACAATGGAAAGAAGTTTTCAAAGTACAACAGAGAGTTTGATTCTTTCATGGACAGATTGTTTGAGTTCGATATTTCATTTTGTCCAAGGTACATTTTGTTTTCACTAACTTGTATTACATTGTAGTCACCATCTGTCTTCTCATTGGCTAAAAGCCTACAGTTAATTCTGGGAAACAGTGCAACCTACAGATTTTTCGCTAATCTGCTAGCAGATTAGTGAATAATCTGTAGGTTGCACACGCACTGCATGATTTCCAAGAGCAATGTTAAGTTCATTGTTCATAATCAAGGTCTCGAAAGTAAACTGTGTTCACTGCGATAATGCATTTGTCATTATTATTTACAATAAAATCATTTACAATGTAATGAATAATGTATAAAATAATTAAATAAAGAAGTAAATGAAATATATGAACTAAGTAAGATATAAAAAGCTTATAGATATCAAATATAATAATACAAAATATAAATGTTTTAAGCGGCCTAGCAGCATATATCACAGTTCTTACAATTATCTATTAAGAGTGATAGGTCTAATACTGTTGTTAAAACTCTTAACATTAGGTATCTCTCTATCAGTATGGTCTAATTTGTTCCAAAGATGGGGCCCAAAATATCGTAAAGAATGTTTTCCATAATGCACTGTGCAAAAACGTGGAATATTAAAATCACTGTTCCTCAGGTAACACCATTTCGGGGTACTAGTATTTGTATTCATTTGATGCAGTAGGTAACATGATTGTGCAGCTTATTTTTTTTGTCATTTGCAAGTCAAACAGTACCTTTACTTTCCAAGACAGAAAAACCCAATTATTGCAGTTTATTAAAGATGATTTCCAGTCCGTACTGCACACTCTCGATGTCCTCAAGAGTCTGTTTGCGTTTTTTGTTTTGTTTCATGTAAGACATCACAAAATGTAAACATTTTGCAACTACTTAGATGAAGTAAATTCAAAGTTTCAAAACAACCGCCATTACGGATGCGAAGCGGTCGAAGCTTTATACCCCGTTCTTTCTCATTTCGCTTGATGAAACAACTTCAGGGCTGCTGTAAAAATCAATGAAGCTGCTAGAAAAAGAATTTGAAAGGCCTCAAAGATAAGGTATGTGGTTCATAACGAATAACATCAATTCGCATTCCATCGAGTGAGATTTATAATGTTTACAAACTTTAGGGTCCTGAGACTGGGCAGTACGGACTGAAAATCATCTGTAATGTTAATAAATTGACTTAATTAAAATTACTTGCATTGTACATGATATGGTTTGTAATAGTGTAGTTTACTTTCTTTAACAGCTATCCTTTCAGTGAAAATATCAAGGAAACAACAGTTTATGGAGACTCAAGGTACACCATACAAGCTCCTTCACTTTAACCATTGTTCCATTCTCCTAGTGGAGAATTGGGCTGTCGCCCCTCTGCTTCCAGGCTATCCTATCCTCTGCAGCTGATACCGCCTCTGTCCAAGATTTTAATCCTTTCTCCTTAAGCTTCGTTTCCACTGTTTCTCCTCCATGTCATCCTCTTAAACAAAATTAAAATACTTGTTAATGTTATCATTCACACCCAACATATGAATTCCATATTCAGTTGATCATGAAAGTTAAATTCACTTTTCTAACGATGATACTAACTTGACATAATAATAATAGAATTCCTATGCCTGGGAAATACTTGTTTCTATGATGAATGGAAACAGAGGACCCAACTCATCATTCGCTCCGACTGCTCGGAAGGGTCCTTATTCTCGAGGGCTTTTCAATTTTAATAGAGGCTCACTGTTGTAAAAACGTCAAAAAAAACTGAAAGTACGTAAGTCTAAGAAAAAGCGAGGTATTGTATGTAAGGTACGTAGATCCAAAGATCCTCAAAAAAAAAATAATAATAATAACAGCAAAAAAATGAAACTTTACTTTGTGGCTTTGTTTACTCGTCTAATGGACCATGTTTGTATTTTTGGTCGTGGATTAGAACTAGCTTGCAATGAAGGCTTACGAAGGGGAATATCATTAAAAAGAGATTTGAAAAGACGCTCCGCATAAGCCTCAGTGGCAAGCTAGTTCCAGTCCAATACCGGGAATACGAATATGGACTGTTGGACAAGTGTCTTGGAAGCTATTATTCCAGTCATCTTAGAGAACATCAAACTTGTCGTGGTAAAAAGTACAGTGGAACCCCGCCTTACGGTCACCTCGTTATTACGACCACTTTTTTTGTCCCAGCAAAACGCCCGTACATTTTCTTATAAGAGAACCCTGTTAATGCGGCCATCCCGTTAATACGGCCAACGGCCACATTCTGAAATCCCAACCTTTGTAATCCTTTATACTTTTACCCCGTTTATATGGTCGCTCAAACCAGTTACTTTTTTAAAAACTATAAAGTGGAAACCTGTTAAAACACATTTACGGTCCAATAATATTTGGCCGTGTTAACTAGGTAGGGTCAAATTTAATGACTGGTCCAAATTGAGAAGCGTCTTAACAGAACCTAACAGATATATCACAATTGCACTTAATTCTAAACAACTGTTCTGTGATAAGCACCGAGAATGTAGATATAACTTTTTGAAATTGAAACTTTGATTACTACATATAATATTAACAATGGAAAGATGGACATAACTGGTTTGAGTGGCCCTATAAACAGGGTATATTTATAAAGGATTATACAGGATGGGATTTCAGATTGTGGCCGGTAGCCGCATTAACGGGGATTTCTTATAGGAAAATGCATGGGTGTTTTGCCGAGCAAAAAAAATGGCCGTAATAACGAGGTGACCGTAAGGCGGGGCTCCACTGTATCTGCTTCCTCGATGCTTATCACAGAACAGTTTAGAAGTACAATTGTGATATCTGTTAGCTTCTGTTAAGACGTTTCTCAATTTAAAGTAGCATTATTTTGATATATATTACTTGTAAGATTTTAACAGTAGTTTTATTTCACTTACTTTTATTTGATGAATATTTCCAGGTGCCCATCATGGTGCGACAGAATCTTTTTGAGTCATTCTAGCAGAGCAATAATAGACCAGGTACATGTCTAGTCACACGGGGGAGGGGGGGGGGGAGCAGTCACTTTGGTGTCAAGAAAATAAAAGGGGGAACTTGATTTAAGGACGTTCGCGCGGAAATTTTCCAGTCGGTAGATTTTTTTAAATTTTTTTACTGCGGTCAGATAATGAGTTACTTGTGTCAAAAATGCAAAAAAAAAAAAAAAATTGGGGTTCACCGACTTCGTTTCAGAGATAATGCGTGTGGAAAACTACCCCGATTGTGAAATTTTGGCGCACGTAATTCAGCATGGTCTACAAGGGTTTATAGTTAAAAGTATCGAAGGTGAGTCAACGGAGGCAACGATCTTATTCATATTTTGTAGAAGTGGGTCTGTTGCGTAAATAATTTCAAATGTTACCAAACGTTTTCACAAAACTTAACCGTTCGAGAAGCATTTGAAACCGTCGCACAGATAAACGAAGAGCTGAAAAGAACGGAATTCGATGTATTCAAACTTCTAGTCGATAGATTTTCTTCATTTTTTCGCTAAACGTAGAAAATTGGTAGAGAAAAGGATCCATTAAAAGAAAAATAGGGTCACCGAACGTCCAAGATCGTTAAATCCAGGCATAGCTATAGCAACGGCCATCTGACCTATCGCTGTTCATTTTATTACTTAGCGCGCGCGGTCATGCATGACGTGGCGTGTGAATTTGCAGGCGTGTTAAGGGTGCGCAGAAACAATTAGCGCGAACGTCCTTAATGTCCAACCAAACTGCGTAGTGTCTTCAGATTAAAGTTATCAAAATGAATGGGTTTTTTTTTTTTCAGGAATGGACTTGAATGTAGGCATTATCATGTGACAAATGAGATTGCAATGGCACTGATCATCATTACTTGAAATTAATTTTACGCACAGATTTATTACCTGGACAGTGTGATGTTGCTCTTGGAAGTTCCTTATATTAGTTTCCAGCCCCATGGTCATTAATTGTTAAGATGTATCTTGTATGTTGGTAAATTTCTCTGTTAGCCTGTTGGCCTGCAAACCCAGACGGGCGTCCAGCTGCATGAAACATCAGCCGGAAGTCTGCCTGGGTTGTCAAAGAACATCACCCGTCTTGGTTCATAATTTGATTTAGCATTACAACTAGAAAAGCATTAAAATACGTTGTTCTTGTGTCAGAAGAAAGGACCTGCGGTGACTTACGACATGATTGGTAAACAAGCCTGTATGGGAGACCACAAGGTACATTACAGTATTCATTCGTAGTATCCTAGTCCAGATTGAACCCCGCTATTTCGAACTCTCGGGGGAAACGAAAAACAGCTCGAAATAGCAGGAGGTCGAAATAACCGATAGTAAATGACTGGAGGGCAGATCCAAGGGAAATGGTTTCGTTTAGTTCGAATTAACGGGGTCGAATTCGAAATAACCGAGTTTGAATTGGCGGAATCCAACTGTATCTTTGTTGTATGTTTAAATAAAGTCTTTCATTCATTTCATTCATCCATTCTAGTATCTTTGTCCTCCATGTTCATAATTTTTCGTTTCTCTACAGCCTATATTTTTGTATTTTAACATGGATTCATCTCAAGATCCTTTTTCTCAAGGTTAGGTTTATGTTGTTTTTAGAGTGACCTTAGTAAGTGACTTGTGAACCTGTAATGAAGTAACAACACCATCTTGTTCGTAGTGCTCGTTGTTACAATCACATATTAGAGTTTCAACAAGGGCTTTCAATGTTTATAGGGTTAAAAGATGTAGTATTGTTTGATGGTGGAATGTGGTTTTCATAACAAGCACTTTCGTTCTTAAACCTATAAGTAGTTTATGTTGCGCTCTTTTAAATTGCTTCATAATGCGGCCTAGCTGCCAGTTCATAAATCCATTGACAATGTTAACTCAGTAACATAACAAAGGAAATGTTTGGTTTTACCGTCGCTTGCATCTGGGCGTGGACACGTGACGCCGAAACATGCTCTAATTGGATGTCAAATGTGGCATGATTGGTCATCAAACATTTGAAGTTTAGCTGACTGTAACACGAACTTTCGCGCTCTGAAAGATCCTGAAAGTCTTGCCCCAGGCAATATTTCATGGTTATTCTAGAAGTTAAACCACCCTCGCGAAAGGCGTATGTATATTGACACAGCTCAGGGTCAATTTCTCTGAAGAAGTCTTCAATGTCCAATCTTTCACCATTTCGTGTGCTGAACTTCGAGCGCGAAAGTTCGCGTTACGGTCTGCTAAACTTCGAATGTTTGATGACCAATCATGCCACGTTTGACACCCAATTAGAGCATGTTTCGGTGTCACGTGTTCACGCTTAGATGCAGGCGACGGTATGCAACCTCTCCAGTTTAATTTCCTTTTTATTTTTAGTTGTTACCACATGTATGCTGACATTAACGTAACATACCTACTCCCTCACGTCCCCATTTGAAATTTTCGTAAGGCCTAGTAAGATTGTCAAATGTCTTTATGAAAACGTAAGCTGCATAATAACACCACTAGTCGCTGTCCCTCAATAGTTCTTTAACGAGTTTTGTTTCTATTTTTGTTGTTTTTTGTTTTGTTATTAGTTATTTTTTGCTCGTACGCTTTGTTTCTGTTTGTGTTAGTATGTGTGCAGGATAACGTCCTTTACTTGTAAAGCTGCCCAGCTAACATCATACGATGCTAACTTGTTTGATGTCCTAGGTTGTAACTCGGAATGGTGAAAACACTGAGTCTTTAGGTTAGTTGCATTTCCCTTTCAAAGCAACAAATCGCTTGAATTCAGTTACACAATCTTTGTTAGCGTCGTAATTTATTTTAGTAATAAGAAGGGAAAAAAGTGAACGACCCCACTAAAATTGTAAGGAAATCGTGAACTACATGTATTTCGCTACGTCACAATCCTAAATTCTTGCAAAACCCGCATACCACCTTTCTGTCTGAGTCCTCAGTTTTTTTGTCTTTGATAAAACGTTTACCTTATGCAGGACTCTTCTGTTTCCGCAATGTTTGTTTCCTTTCTTTTCACAGCTCGACTCATAAAAAACAGTGGACCCCTTGAAGTTGTCGAGTATCTAACAAGTGTTTGAGAGTAGAATCTTTTAACTGTTTCAGTGGTGACTTCTACAGACAACTTCTATAGACAAGCTACCGTTTACGGTACAAACTGGGAGACTGTGATAATACATGAGGGTGATTAGTGTCTATATTCTGTGTCGGTTTGACGAGACATAAGGTGGTGATCTATTTAACCGGTATCCGGGCTGAAAGGTTAACAGTGCTGTGGCAGCGAAGAATCCACAGTCTCCGATATTGTTACAATAATAATTTATACTTATATGTACGTTAGGTTAACAGAGTAGTAGTGTACAAAATAATTGTTGAATCATTCTAAAGTACGTAAGTTCCAGATGAAAATTAATTATAAGCAATGGGTTACTCATACGAACAAACAACGTAAAAGTTGATTTAATGTACTGTATGTCCAAATATTGTTTCTAGAAACTTGTTTAAGCGTAAAGGGGGCTTTGTTTCGTCGTCTTATTAGGTCATTTCTAGGTTGTCTTTTCTTTTTTTTCAACATGGGGCATGCTGACAAACGTTTCAATCTAAAAAAAATCTTGTTTTTCGGATTTATTTTCATGCATATGAAAGCAGTTTTTTCAAACGTTGTGCTTTATAGAACATTTAGCAAGTTGATAAACTTCATGTAAAAACCTCAACCAATAGTTTCGCGAAACACCATGTAAGAGGCAGCTCAACGATTCAGATACCATAGGTGTCGCTGTTGTTTGGATAATGATTGACCCATTAAGTTTGATGTCACGTCTGTCAAAAGTGAGGTGAGCTTAGTGATGTTAAGCTCGTGGTAATACAAGTAATATAAACAAGATGATTTTTTAGACTCGGTTCATGCGAGCTCAAAGATATTTAATAGTGAGGTGTATAGTTATTTTAATTAACCTATAAACAAAATTATATATGTATATGACATTACACTGATTAGGTTATAATTGAATCGGGAATTGGATTAAATAATGATTTGTTATGAGGCTTTAGTCCGGTCAATCGGATTCCAAAGATTAAAAACTATATATATTGGCTTTTTTGTATTCTTTATATTTACGATGTACAATCTGGTAATTTTAACATCCTGTAGTTTTCAGATTATCAAGAGCCTCGTTTTAGCATTTATTGAGGCTGTTTTTCAGTTAATTTTTTTCTTGGACCTATAACCGGTGTACGACCGGGAACAGGCTAGGCTAGGCTTGGGAGCGTATGTGTAACGCGTACAATACGCTTGACTTCAAGAGTAGGTTTTAGGTTGCCAAGTTGATTGTGAAGTTTCGGAGTTGATTTACTTTAAGGATCTGGGCTTAAACATTAAAAAGTTCATTTGTAATGGGTGTGATTTTATTCCTCGCAAGTTCAGGGATGTTAAGAGTGCAGTCACCTGTTTTCGATGTGAATGCAAGAAGCGAGAAAACACACGTAATACCTCAGAGCTTGTAGGTCTAGTAAGCGCTACAGGCGTCACAGTTTGAATGCTCAAGTTTAATCATACTGGGCGTAAACACGAGAGAAACGAAACTGATCGTGGATGTGTGATGTGTGATTCAACTGAAAAAATAAACAGACAAAATATTTAAGTACAAAATATAACGACAAAAAATACTGACAACGGAGCAAATAAACTTACAAAACTGTGGCGACACGAATTCTAGAATTTGTACTTCAGGGCTCACAACAGTGAAGCAGCTGAGGAAAACGGGGTAGAAACCAGCAGATCGAACTTTCAGTGCTAACAAGCACTGGCGAAAATAAAAACAAACTACGAATAATGAGGAACGCTTAAGTACTTCAGAGTGGGTTGCTTAATTCCCAGGGGTCACGGAGAAACGTGACATCCAAAGCAAAGAAAGATCTAGCCGCTACAGACCTGGTCCATTGGTCGGGCATTGCAATCTTATCGCAGCTCCACCGTAGGGATTTGTAGGAATGGCCCCGTGCCACAATAGATTACTTAGGGGAGGGAGAAGGGTGCACAAGCTCCGAATTGACCATCTGTTTTGCGTCAACAATGTACCACACTTGGAAAACTGCGCCACACTTGGAAAAATGTGCCACATTTGGAAAAATGCGGAAACCTTGGAAAAATGCGCCACTCTTGAAAAAATTCGCCGCACTTGGAAAAGTACTCCACACCTGGAAAGATGCGGCACACTAAAAAAAATGTGGTACAGTTGAAAAATTGCGACACATTTGGAAAAATGCGGCACGCTGGGAAAAATGCGCCAGACTTGTAAAAATGCGCCGCACTTGGAAAAATGCGGCACATTTGGAAAAGTGCGACTTATTTAAAAAGATGCGGCACACTTGGAAAAGTGCGGCAAACTTGAAAAAATGTGGTACAGTTAAAAAATTGCGACACATTTGGAAAAATGCAACACACTTGAAAAAATTCGCCACACTTGGAAAAATGCGTCACACTTGGAAAAATGCGGCACAGTTGGAAAGTGCGGCTTATTTGGAAACATGCGGCAATCTTGGAAGAATGCAGCACACTTGGAAAAATGCGCCACACTTTAAAGAATGCGCCACACTTGGAAAAATTCTCCACACTTGGAAAAATGCGCCACATTTTCAAAAAATAAGGCACACTTGGAAAAATTCGCCACATTTGGAAAAGTGCGCAACACTTGGAAAAACGCGCCAATTTTTGGAAAAATGCGCCACACTTAAAAAAAAGGGGCCAAACTTGGAAAAATGCGCCACACTTGGCAAAGTACTCCACACTTGGAAAAATGTAGTACAGTTGAAAAAATGCAGCACGTTTGGTAAAATGCGGCATACTGGGAAAAATGCGCCAGACTTGTAAAAATGCGGCACACTTGGAAAAATGTGCCACACTTGGAAAAATGTGCCACACTTGGAGAAATGCGCCACATTTGGAAAAATGCGCCACATTTTCCAAAAATGAGGCACACTTGAAAAAATGTGGTACAGTTGGTAAAATGCGGCACACTGGGAAAAATGCGCCAGACTTGTAAAAATGCGCCGCACTTGGAAAAGTACTCCACACTTGAAAAAATGCGGCACGCTAAACAAAATGTGGTACAGTTGAAAAATTGCGGCACATTTGGAAAAATGCGGCACGCTTGGAAAAATTCGCCACACTTGAAAAAAATGCGCCACACTGGGAAAAATGCGGCACATTTGGAAAAATGCGCCACACTTGGAAAAATGCGTCAGACTTTGAAAAATGCGCCACACTTGGAAAACTCCGCCACACTTGAAAAAATGCGCCACACTTGGAAAAATTCGCCAGACTTGGAAAAATGTGCCACACTTGGAAAAATGTGCCACACTTGGAGAAATGCGCCACATTTGGAAAAATGCGCCACATTTTCCAAAAATGAGGCACACTTGAAAAAATGTGGTACAGTTGGAAAAATGCGGCACATTTGGTGAAATGCGGCACACTGTGAAAAATGCGCCAGACTTGGAAAAGTACTCCACACTTGGAAAAATGCGGCACGCTAAAAAAAAATGTGGTACAGTTGAAAAATTGCGGCACATTTGGAAAAATGCGCCACACTTGGAAAAATTCGCCACACTTGGAAAAAATGCGCCACACTGGGAAAAATGCGGAACATTTGGAAAAATGCGCCACACTTGGAAAAATGCGGCACACTTGGAAAAATTCGCCACACTTGAAAAAAATGCGCCACACTAGGAAAAATGCGGCACATTTGGGAAAATGCGCAACACTTGGAAAAATGCGCCACACTAAAAGAAATGTGGTACAGTTGAAAAATTGCGGCACATTTGGAAAAATGCGCCAGACTTTGAAAAATGCGCCGCACTTGGAAAAGTACTCCACACTTGGAAAAATGTGGCACACTAAAAAAAATGTGGTACAGTTCAAAAATTACGGCACATTTGGAAAAATGCGGCACACTGGGAAAAATGCGCCAGACTTGTAAAATTGCGGCACACTTGGAAAAATTCGCCACATTCGGAAAAATGCGCCACACTTGGAAAAATGCGCCCCACTTGGAAAAGTACTCCACACCTGGAAAAATGCGGCACACTTGAAAAAATGTGCTACAGTTGAAAAATTGCGACACATTTGAAAAAATGCGGCACACTGGGAAAAATGCGCCAGACTTGGAAAAATGCGCCGTACTTCGAAAAATACGGCACATTTGGAAAAGTGCGGGTTATTCGGAAAGATGCGGCGCACTTGGAAGAATGCAGCACACTTGGAAAAATGCGGCACATTTGGAAAAATGCGCCACACTTAAAGAAATGTGCCACACTTGATAACAATGGGGTGACAGGCCTACAAAACTCCTATCCACGTGTAATAGCCGCTTTGAGAGTTTTGCTCGATTTTTGAGGATCTGCCCCTTTTGTATGGTACGATAGAGGAATCTTTGAATATTTCGCTAAACAATAATCCTGTTTTTAGGAGGACATTTCACCAGAGTAAAGCCGTTAGAGGTCATAAGTCTGCGTGGTTTCCGCTGTTATCCGCGTGTAATTTGTAGGGTTCGACACCTCTGTTTTTTTTGCCACGTGCTAGTTTTTATTGGCTCATTTGCTAGTTTTTAATACAACGCATAACTATCTTACGCTTTATCCTTAAATTCAAATCACACATGCTGGAGAAAATTAGCGTTGTAGCCATCATAGAAAACACACTGTCAAGCTGTGTACAATAGGATCGAAGACTTCATGCTCACCATTCGCTGGTGGCAAAACTACCAATCACNAGTCACCGTCTCTCAGCTTTCAGTAAATTTATAAGATCACAATCTCAGTTATCAGTTAAAAACTGCGTCATTTTCCGACAGACAGACGGTCAGCTATCACCTAACCTCCATCCAGACCCTCCCCGGACGCTAAGGTAACAATCAAACAAGAACGCCGGCGTTCGGGACTGACATCGAGCGTTCGTAAAGGAGATCAAATCAGAGATTTCAAATGTATAAGCAATCACATGCAAAACCATATTAAGTGAATCAACCCGCAACTTACTTATGGTAAAATTACATTAAGGGCAATAGCCCTCGAATTGCCATTTTTCGTGTGACGTCATCACTTTCCAAAATTAAAAATTCCAATTCTTCTCAAGTTTTAGTTTCATCAGATGTAAGACCCCTCTAAGAACTTGACTTTGTACAACGTTTAAGCTCGAAAGGGCCCCTCACTTTGTTATCGAGAGGGCTTTCACGTAGGTCAAAAGATGAGTTATCGCTGAAGGTTTTCCTAACTGAACAGTTCTTGCACTATAGAAGAAGTATTAATTCGAATTTGTCGGAGCTCTAGAGGGATACCTCTTCGTTTCAAAAGCCAAATTCAATGTTGGCGCCAACATGGCGTCTCCTTACACAGCTCTATAAATTTGGGTGAAACACTTCTCCATATGCGAAGTTGTTTATATATCAATCATCTATCATATCCCAGATTCTTAAGTTAATTTATTGAAAGGTTACGATTTTTATTTTTGTTGGCGTGACAGTGCAAAAACCAGCAATTTATGAAAATTCCGATCGTTTAAAAAACATATTCTGTGTCTACTTTAGCAAATATTCGTTAAACATGGAAAAATTACAGAAACTAATAACATATCTACCTAGAGTCACTTTCTGCCTAAAAGCTACCAAAACTAACTTGCTAAATAACTACACCCCGTTAATACGGTCCCCAGTGGGCCATGAAAATCAGGCTGTATTAGCGGGGTGGCCGTATTAACTGGGTGGGGTCAAATTTCATAACTGGTCTAAATTGAGTGACGTCTTAACAGAAATATCACAATTGAACTTCTAAACAACTTTTCTTTAATAAGCACCGAAATGTAATCAGTACGTACAATATAACAACAGAAAGATGAACATAACTGGTTTGAGTGGCCCTATAAACGGAGTAAACTCATAAAGGAATATAACGGGGTGGGATTTCAGAATGAGGCCGTTGGCCGTATCGACGGGATGGCCGCATTAATGGGGTTTTCTTATGAGAAAATGTACGGGCATTTCGCTGGGACAAAAACAGGGGACCGTAATGACGAGGTGACCGTATTAACGAGGTGACCCTAAGGCAGGGTTCCAATGTTGTAAAACCAGCAGATAAAAGTGAATATTTTGCATCAATTTCGAACCTCATCCTCGATTTTCGTCTGAGTGTTATTTATTATCTTATTTGTATATTTATGTTGTCATAAATGTACTTCTCCGGGCTTTTCATTTTCAGTTGCGGTTTTGTCCGACCAAACGTCACAGAACAGATTGGACCCAGGTCAAACGTCGAACTTCACTTGAGACGAACTAAACTGAGCGAATTATGCTCATGATAAGTTCGACCAAGTTTGACTCAACTGAGTTCGTCCGACTGAGA